CATTGACACACACACTTGCACACACAAACACTGAAATGGTCAAAAGTGGACGAGTTGAGATGTTTGTCCTTCTGGAACTACAAAGGGACAGGCTGTGAACAGTTTTGGGAACAATATGTTTTACATTTGTTATTTTCTTAGGGACCAGAGGCTTTAATCTGTATTTGATGATTATTGATTTGTCTTCAAAAGATACAACAAATCAAAAATTCTAATCTCTATGTGGAGTGGACTGGGGAAAAATGCGACACCACATTGCATCAAAACATCGCAGTGGTGAAGACTGTTTAATGCCGTCTTCTCTTGATTATGGGAAAACTTTGTCAATGAAGGTAATTTCCCTTTCCATATACTATAATAATCTGAAGTCGCTGTAGATCTGTAGAACATGGCTATAATATTCTAGGAATGGATTAGGAAGAGCAGAAGGAGGCAAAGCACAAATGTGTAACTATAGAGCCTGAAAGTACTTGTGTGTCATATAACGTAAAGTCCTATACCATACTAATAACAGCTAGGTTCCTGTACCGTGTTTTGCTCGAGGTTAACTTAATGTAATATATCTCAGCCTTTTGCAGGAGCAGCATGAATAACGACAGCTTGTGTATCGATCTAAATTATAAATTGGCTAGTCTTCTGTGATCTTTACAATGTGACACATGCTAACAGGTGGCTTATTATATAGCCCTATAATTAAGACAAAGTCAAACGAGAAAGAGCTGCAGATGGAACTCCTACTTTGTTTCTCGCAATGACATGTCCCTGAGTTCAACGTGAGCCCATTAGAGTAAACAAACCAGATGATTGTCAGTGGTTTGCCAATGGGGCATGTGGGAGCTTGATGTGGCATGTTGCTTGATTTAAAGTTCCTATCTTGATGTGTATTTAAAGCAATATGCAAATGGTTTATATGAAAACACAAGGACTTATATCATTCATCCTTTAACTGAGAGAAATTACCAGACTGTCACTGGATAAAGAGCAGATTTCATGGACTAATAATTACTTTGAATTGTTAGAACAAAAGAAGATATTTGAAATGAAAAACAGCAGTGGGTGATTTACCATAGAAGTTATGTTTTTGTAATTACTGATAAGTGCTTAAATTTAAACTTTATCATACGTTAATTTGTTTTTGTTTAAGTAAGAAAAACCATGTTCCTGTTCTTTATCATCGGCTTCAATATACCTACTTTCAGTGCAGCCAGGGCAATTTGTGGTTTGTGTAACCAGCACAACTCTCACTACTGACACATGACTACAACAAGTCCAGGCAGGTTGGCAGATGATGTCAACTGGCACACTCGGGATGGAAGAAATCACACGCAGAAGAGGCAGATGGGTACAATGAAAAGGATCACACCATAACGGTATTTAAGCACAGTGAAATATCTGGGATGCATAAAAAAATCGTCCTTAATGTCTTCAGAAGTCATTTGTTGTCTTTAAAGACACTTTAGTTGGGTTTGAACTGTCCTGACTTATTTTGTAACCCACTGCTTCCTTTTAGTTATAACGTGGTAAGGCTAAATTAAATCCACTCCGACAAATTAAGTGTATAAAGGATTACAGTTCTCGAGAGAGGCCAGACAACAGACAGCTGTTGTTGTGATAATGACGTCATGTTTGTCTAAGGACAGTGGAGAAAGTGACAGAGTGTTGAGAGTGTCACTCTCAATGGTGGAGTGAGTAACTGAGTGAGTGAGTGCAGCATAGTTTTGATTTTCTGCCCTAACCTGAGGACCAGGTTGGGCCAGGTTGGGCTGTTATTTATTAACACTCATTTGGACTTAAATCGGGTCAGGTTTTTTTCAATTTCCCTGAGTGACATTGACATTCTGGACCTACTGTATTAGGCACTGTGATAACAACTTTAGAAACTTCCTCAAGCTAAATGTCCTCACATTTAATGTATGATGTTTAATTATTTCTTGACAACATGTTTACATGGATATTTGTCTCCGGACTACTTAGTTCTTTCTGCTCATGTTGCTGTTCATTTCTTGTTGTATATTTCCTTTGTTGATGTTGTCCTTCAGTTGAGGTGAGGTCCATTGAATAACTGTGGCCTTTTGACCTTTCCTGTCACATTTGGTATTTTTGTAATTACTGACGGATTATATGCAGACTTATGTGTGAGCAAATAAATACAATATATCCACTTCCAACAAACATAGGAACTCAGAACAACGGAGAATCCGAAGACTATTTTCTAGCTTAGTAATTATTTCAATAAAATAGGAAGAAATGCACATTATGATTATGAATATGTAGACCGTCTTAAACCCAGCACACTTTTGTTATCAGAGTATGTACAAAGCTGTAACCTTGATCTGGTCCTCATACAGAAAGCATCCCCTCCCCTGCAAAGGCATCAACAACTTCCTCCACTGAGGGTCCTCTGAACTCCTGCCACTCTTTACCACAGAGATACCACTGAAACTGCCTGACCATCCTACTGTAATGTTCCTGACATTTGCAAAAACTTTGCTTTCCAATCTTGAAGCTAAATGACAATAAAAAAACCTATAAAGTGCTTTGACTGTTATGATGACTGCATGAGTCATTTGCTCACAATTACAACCTGAAAGGAATGTAACTCAACTTCCTTGAAGCAGTAAAACCAAAATTCTCTCACTTCCCCCATTCTATCTCAATCCCTCCTCCCTATTCCACTCCCTAATTAGGCATACCCTTTTTTTTCTCTCTCTTCCTCCATCACAAAATGTGCCTCCAATGCGTCCCTCAGGTCAGCCAATCACAGAAGAGAGGATGTGGCACCGACGCCACTCTCTCGCTCGCTGACCAATGAGCGCAGAGTCAGTGGGTATGGCTCATGATTGGGCCCTCCCAACTTCTCCGTTTCTCTGCCTCCTGCAGGCTGCGGCTAAACTTGCTGTCTCACTCATGCTTCCTGGCTTTACTCACATGCTCAGAGAGGAAGCGCTGTAGAGTCTTAGCAGCACATGAAGAAGCTCTGGCTATTTTAAACCAAACAGGATTTGACTCAGGATATTTCAATATCTCTTTTGGCGCGTGACAGACTTTTATGTACTAGCCAGAGAGCAGACTTTAGAGTTTCTTTTTTTTAAACTTTTTATATTCAAGGTTTTTTCCCCATCTTACTGTAGGTGGTCTCGTGTGTGGCAGAGAAAGAGAGTGTGTGTGTTAGTCTGCATGTGTGTGTGAGAGAGAAAGAGGACCAGGATGATTGCAGCCCAGCTACTAGCCTATTACTTCACTGAACTCAAGGATGATCAGGTTAAAAAGGTGAGTGTTTTCTGTTAATTCTGTCACCACTTTTGATATTGTGTTTGTACTAGTGAGAGCTGAGCATGTGTTTGTAGAGGTCATTGAGTTCCTCATACTGCCATCACCATAACTTTGCTGTAAGACTCGAGTTTCCAGGAAGTCAGGTTACTGTATGTGATACATCTCTTCAAGGAAGTGAATACAACACAAAGCATGTTGGGAGAGAAGTGGAGTCATTTTACAATGACCCAGATTTGTTTTTATTGTCAGACAAATGAGACGTGACAACTGCTCAGACGTGTTTGTGTAGTAACATTTGAAAGGAGACGTGACAGATTGGTGTGTGTGTTTCCTGGATGTAAGTTTTGGGAGGTGTTGCAAGGGAGGAGAGAGGAAGTGTGAGGCAATGATGAAAGGACATACGAGCAGAGGGAAGAGAAGGTTGTAATTGAGAAGAGAGAGCAATGTCATGTTATGGGTCACAGAGTCTCTATTATCATCTTGTTAAAATGATACCTGCACTTTCATTCATCTCAGCTCAGAAGAGTAGAAAGAGTGAGGAAAAGAGCTAAGAGGTCTTTAAATAAGATGAAATATGCAGTTGTTTAGCACATTTACGGCAATTCATATTTTTGCTGCAGTCTGTTAACAACTGCCATGATCAGTAACACCATAAAAATCTGAGGAATATTGTGTTTTCTTCCCATACCCAATGTCCACATGGTTTCTATCCTGTTAAAGTCGTCCTAATCATTGAAGTGTGTTTGACCTTAAAGAATGAGGAAAGCATTTAATGCACATATATATCAAAGAGTTCCTAAAGCTGATCATTCTAGCTTCTTTATGTACCGGTAGGTTGAAATGCCTGACTGAGTATGAAAAAGTTCAAGGCTGAAGAGGAGAAGAGTGACTGAGCACCATGAATGTGTCTTTCATAACTTCTCAGCTGAGCAGCCCCCACTGTAACACTTTCACTGGCTGGACCAGTTTTAGTTATGAAAGACACAGAGTGCGTTTAGTGGAGGAACTGAGCTTTTCCAGAACCCAACCCTTCCCAATAGTTCTTCATTGAATGTGCCAAGAAATAATGTTGCAAACATACAAATACGCACACAGCTCCATCCTGTAAACTATGGTCGACCCATAAAGTAAAATAGAGACAGTGTAAAATGGGTATTTATTCTAAGGCAATGTCTCAACATGTTTGAACATATGGTGCAGGGTTCCTTTAAGGTCGCTTCCTGATGATGTTACGCTACCAACTGGATATTTAAATGCTGCTCTTTTCCTGTATACATTGAAATAAGTTCCTAGCTATTGTGCGTCTTTCCTCCATTTCCCTCTCTGTCTGAAGGCACATTGGAAAAGTCAGCATTCAGGGCTTTCTGCCAGAAAGGGTCTATTTCAGGAAGACTCAACCCTTTTTTCATAGTAGCCCCTTTTGAAAAATGACAGGAGGCCAGGGTCAAGCTATCAAGCTCAAACCTGTGCTCTGGCAAAAGGATCTTGAACTTTATTTTGATATAAAGAAAAAGCTCAATTAGTCAATTTTCAATGTGACTACCTATTGACTAATCTATTTTCAAAGAAATGTTGCCCTGCACCCTAAATTGAGCATTACTAGTCTATTTGAACACAAACCATGATCTTTACCTAAACTAAGTGGTTGTGTTGTTGCCTAAACTTCAGGAGAATTCTTGCAGAAAGAAAGCCATGAGGGGTAACTTCTTCAATGTGCCATCTGAAGCCACTTTAGTTAAATGTAACAATCTTCATTCACATAATGTGTCACAGAAAGCTCTCATGGATGTACCTGCTGTGCCAATTGCAATCCGAGTTTGTAAAGGTAAAATAAATGTATTAACAGCCGCAATGTGATGTAATACAACACGTCTCCCTCCCTCTTTACTCCTGCACTCGTCCTATCCATGCGTCCCTAAAATAGGCCAGCTTTGAACCATGTGACCACAGGTGACAGGAGAAGAGGGCTTACACACAAATACACTGACACACACCCACACACTGTGCCAGGTGTGTAGCTATTGTGTAGCTGTTGAAAGAGCAGGGCTTGTCTCAGCCTCAACATCAACTTCAAATGTGGCTCAAATTTACAGCTCAGGATTTAAGCATTCACTAGGGAAAGTATACAGATAATCCCATCACTAATGTTTTTTTTGACAAACTGTGTAGCTGCTGATGTCAAAGAACCGCAATCAGCTGAGTGCATCCTCTCTTCACTCAATCCACTGCAGTGTCCTTGACTGTACTCTTTGATACACTTTTAGCGAGCATCCAAAGTGGTGTTTCAGTGTGTGTGGCAAATAGAGGGCATTGTAGAGGACAGTATTTTTCCACATGGTGAGGCCTTGGGTGCACACACACATACACAATGGAATCAGGTTTCAATGCTTTCTTGAACCACCTTGTGACCACAAAGAGGACGAAGCATTGTTGAGGAGAGGAATGCAAACAGAAAGGAGGAGAAGGAGAAATGGGCCAGAAAAGAGGAGGGAAGAAGAAACAGAGAGAGAGAGAGCGAGCGTGATCTTTTTCTGTAACTTAGCTTCAAGCTGTGTGTGTCAGATGAGACTTGTGTGTTGAGGGGAAAACATGGCCTTTTACAGATTCATGTGTACAGACTCACACATCATAGAGGCCTCATGTGACCTTATCAGGAAATGTCCCTTTGCTCAACACTAGTGGAAAAACTGGAAACTGCTCTTTGGGTTAATAAAAAGCCTAATGATGATGAATCATGGATCATGCACATTATTTTCTGTGCCTGTTAGTCGTGGGAATCCATTGCCGAGATCCGAGCTGTCAGATCAGCTGATGCTCTGCTATAATAAAGTGCTTATGCATGGTTTCTCCTGCTGAGTGCTGAGTCATAGATATTAATTTATATCCTGCAGCAGGAGTTCAGTGGATTTCCCCTGGTTTGTTGTTGAGCATTGTTGACAATAGCTGCTTTTAATCCACCCCTTTGTTACCCAGTACCTTATACCAGCTAGTAGCATTGTCATTTAAATAGACTAGTAGCTACAGATGCATTTTTGTTCAAAAGGCTGATAGGAACACGTTGAGAATTCACACAGTTTTCATTTTTATGTTCAAACAAGAACAGAAATTGGCAATGTGATGATTGGAGGAATAACTATTAGGACCAATGAGTAGCAGCACAGGAAGGCAGCAGCAGCAGTGTACCCGTTGGCATGAGAAGATAACAATCTGAATGGATCTGTTTACATCAGCTGACCGTGCAAGAGTTGTTAATGCACTACAGGAAACTAATGCATGTATAATTTCTTCATTTACCAAGATACCAAACTTTGTGAAGACGTATAATTATATTTATCAACTTTTATGACCACAAAACGCTGACTCAAACCTTGATATACTAGATCAACTTATCAAACTTCACATTAACATGTTAGCAAACATTGGTCAACTTTACTTAAAACAGTATTGATTTTCACTTGCATACCATATTGTAATTTGACAAAATTATGATTTTTTTTTGTTTGTGTCTTTATTTGATCAAAATCTGCCACCTAAAACCTGGTTGAGCGTGTTATGCTAGTAGCGGCTAATGTAGCCTACGCCTTAAGCCTCAAGCATAGATGAGGAGCAGGTTATTGAAGAATGCTAAGCTGACTTCCTACTCTACACCTTTTTTTGTTTATTATCTGCAAATTAGGAGCTTTTGTTAAGCTCTGAGCCTGTTTTTCAGGTCTCAGGCTCGAAAATGACATTCCCAGAACAAATGACCATATCTTCCCTTCTAAAAGGGTTAAATTAATAATCTTTTTTCTCAAAGTAATGATAAACCTGTGACTTGGATGTAGAAGTGTCAGAATCAATATAGATGTTTTTTATTTTAAAGAAAATTCAGATTTTACATAGTAAAAAACTGTAAATTATAGTGTCCGTCCAAAAATTCTTTTTTACTTATAGTGAAAACTACCCTTGGATGATGGGTTAGTAGACTAAAAGCTTTTGGAATCCAAAGTACAACATATAATAAGTACCCTGTATCAAGATTGATGCAAAACAAGTGACATTTGACCTTTTTAGAGAGGTTTAGCCAAAACCACCCCACCTCTGAGGTGATTTGGGTGAAACATTTTTTTTTCTTCATATCTCTGGCCCCCCTTGGTCGATTTTGATGGTTGACACCTCTTTCTGACCGTTAGAGCCAATAGAATCGAAGGGGGAGTCCCCCACACACACACATTGTGAAAACAAACGGTGGGGGCTTCGCGCATGCAGGTTTGCACCAGAGTGAAGCGATCTCTCGCTCTGACATCTGGAAATGAAAAAGCAGTTTTATTGCTTATGGATTATCAGAAATCATTTCAAAGAGGACACAGACACATTGGATTAACCTATGGATTAACTGCAGCATCGTTTTTTTTATCGTTTTAATGCCATTGAAGACCAGTTTTGACCAAAGTAAGCCATGTTAGCGTTTGTAGCTACCTAGCGCCACATGTTTTGATGTACGTTTTCGTTTATAGCGTCGCAAATGTTTATCACTGAGTGTTGAGGTGGGCACCCCCAGATTCTGTGTCTCCAGGCGATGCTAATCGATGGGTTGGCTGTGCATCTAGGATAAGTAATAAGGGAGTTATGAGTGAGTTTAGGTGCAGTGATAGGCTAGCATTTTTCGCTCATGGCTAATTCAGAGGCTGAGTGTTAGCATTGTGGGGGTTTTTTTGGGAAAAAAAATTAAAAAGATCAGTTAGCTGAGTTTCTTCCCGTTACATGGATATAAAACATTCATAGTTTATTAAATATTAAGATTCCTTAGACGTTGTTTCCTGCAAATTACGCGTTTATCCGCCCGGTACCGGGGGGGCGGTGCGTAACAGGTTAAGCACTGACATATACTGACTGTAATTACACAGATTTCCTAAAGTAGCATTTGGTTAGCTGATGACTTGAGGCTTCAGTGTTTGTCTGTTTCTCAAAGACTTCCATCATTTAGACTTGATGAACCCAACCACATGGACTAGTGCAGGGGTACTCAAACTTTTTTATTAAAGGTCCAGTTGTGAACTTTATACAAGGTCACTGGTCCGGATCAATGCCAGTAAAGTCCATCACCCCCCGTTATCTTTTTTTATTATCTTTTTTATAATGGGACACAGGGTTCGGTCCGGATTGATTTGCAGTTCGGTCCGGATCCGGACCTTGGTCCGGAGTTTGAGAAGCCCTGGACTAGTGAATCAAAACAATGAGCTGTAGACTACAGAGCTGCAGACTAACATATTGATTTCAGATGTAATCACCATTGCTGGCAGCTGTTTTAACATTTGGCAAAAACCAAGGGCTTTCTCTGCCAGAAGTTATATTATGTTTAAGTGTGTTTGTCAACAGGATTATGGAAAAACGTTCAGATGTTCATGAAACTTGGTGGAAAGGTGTAGCACATTGACTCCCTGCATGGGGTGTCTCAGGAAGACACTGTAGATATTTGTGATGCAGTAGCTCTCATCCAACTCTGCTTTCATGTCACTATATTAGACAGCTGACCTGCTTCAAAAAGACCACATGCAAAAATGCATAAACAAATGCAAAAGCATAAAGCTATTTTTGCATTTTAACCTGTCAAACACACAATGAAAAATTAGCATGCTATTTTACCATGTTGACTTTCAAATACTCTGCTTTAAACAATGGTGTCATCTCTATAACACTAAAGCAATTATTTATAAGCCTAATGATTACAAGCCCCTTTGTTTGGTGTATATACCTATTATTATATTATTTAGTCTTGTCAGAATACCTTTCCTAAAAGTGACCAGTAGAAAGGTATAGCATATGTGTAGTGAAGCTAATGTAAGTGAAGCTAATGCAGTAGCACTTAATCTGGTTTGGTTTATAGATGGGAAATGTACCTGCAGGACTTTTTTTGTTTGTTTCTTCATGGTTGAATGTACTTATTGTAAGTCACTTTGATTTAAGCGTAAGCTAAACCAAATGTAATGTAATGAAAGAAAGAGAGAACAGAGACACGGCTGTTTGAATGTTTATGGTGTGATTGAAATAACAGATGCTGAGGGCAATCTCCCTCAGTCATTTTCATTTTCATTTAATCGTTTATTTGAACCGGGACAGTGCACATTGATGAACACTTTAAAACAAAATAATGCGTAAAGTGTAAATGAGCCGGATTTGAGCTTTGAGCTAATTTCCATCCGTAGTCCCGTCACATACAACATATAAGAACATGACATTTATATACATAGCAAAAATAAATACATGATATGCAGAAAGAGCATGAGCAGCATACAAGCATTTACCACATGGCAGTACAATGTAGCAGCTATGATATATAAAGTGCAAGATAAGATAAAAGTGCTACATAAAGTGCAAGAGGAGATACCCCTGTATAAAAGTGCATTTAGCGGTGATTACACGTCTGTTTGTTGCTCAACCATTCTTTAAGTTGTCCTTTAAAACTATGTTGAGAGGGCGTTGTCAAGCTCCAACATGTCGACTAAAACTCAGAGAAAAAACTGCTCAGGTTGGGCTGAGGAACTGTTAGTTGTGCAGTGCAGCAGGTTAACAGTATGAATGTGTTTCACTGAGCTTATGAAGGTTAGAAATTGCATTCACTCAGCTTGTGGCTCAAGTGTGATGAGACGTGATAATGAGCATTCATCCCAGAGGCAGACTCCACATTTAGGCAGAATATAGGGAATGTAACGCCTGCAGAGTAGTTATACAGGGCTGTTGTCATGTAACTATCCATGTTGACTCACAATGTTGTATACTATTCAAAGATGACTGCATGATTAAACAGCAGATTATTAATCTTTGTGTCAAATGTACGCCATAGGTCTTATTTAACCATGTGCCTTACGAGGGACATTATTGGCTTCATTCCTTTATAGTTTCATTCATTGTGGCTGTGTTAATGCATACATTCTGGCAAGGGTGTTTTTTAGTAGTTTGACCTTGGTTCCTACAAAAACAAGTTTGTATTCAAAATACATATCCCAAATGTGTTTAAAACATACTGGCATATACATATGTGGTTGGATGGCTGTTTATAACATCAGAGCAACTTTTCTAAAGTGATGTACAAGGCTATGATAAAGGCCAAATTGACCGCTTACTGTGACAGAAAAGTCACACACTCTAGCACATATGGTGAAATCAAAACCTGTTAACATTTTATTGATTGTCTTTTTCAATTTATTTTGCTGTCATCTTTTACTATTTCAAAGTGTGCTTAATACCTGACAACCGAATTAAAATAATGAGTCTATGTTGCCCGCAGCATGTAATATGGACCAGAGACCAGAGCTGTGAAAGTTAATGTGTGACTGACTCCTAAAACAGGAAGTCAAAACATTCCTATCTGATGTCTGTTACAATGAGTAATACTAGCAAATTATCTCAAGTATGTCAGAATACGTAAAAGCATTGTTTCTGTGTAAATATTGAATCAAGTGAGCGTGATTGTATGAACTCCTATTGCTTATCAATTATCTCAAATGGTTATTTGTTATCAAACTGGTCATAGCTATGTGTTAAGCTAGCAAGTCATAATGAACTTGACATTTAAGCAGAGTAACGTGTCTGTCACATTGTGCTCTGTTGTGTAACACTCTAGTTTAAAGTAGGTCTTTGATTCATTATAGAGTGTGATGCAACAATGGATTTCAACAGTCTGTTTAACATCCTGTTACTCAAAGGCCAGACAGCTCAGGCTTGTGTGTGGAGTATCTGACACAGTTTACACAGTGGGCAGTTTCAGCATGCAATCTGGCTAGTACAGATATAAAGAGTGTGCAAGAAGTGGTGATAATTTCATGAAGGCACACATTATTGCCTTGATAACAGCATGAAGGGTGTGTACTGTACTTCCTGTCCTTGCAGTGTGTCACTCATGATACTGTGCTTTATATTAGATATTGTGCCCTATGACCACAGTATGATAGCCCTGCCAAAAGTGTTATTCAAGTTGCAATGAAGCAATAAAAAGTCTTGATTGTTTTTGTGACTCTGATTTATGTTAAAGGTTAAGCAGAGCTGGGATCAATCAGTTCAGGATGTGGATTATCTGATGACTCAGACATGATGGGTTAGGGAGTTATATATTTACTGAATCATCATGATTAAATACAGACTGCAATCATCAAATCCAGTAAATCTCAGTTACCTCAAGTGAAATAACTAGGGATGTACCAAAAACTCACGGTACGATAATATCGCGATAACAAGTCCACGGTACGATATTTATCGCGATATGGAAAAATAAAAGGAAAAAAACATTTGAAAATTTATTTATTTTTAAATTTATTTTGAATTATTTATGTTTTTTACTTGAAAAAATGTTCTTTATTAAATAATAAATCTGATTTGTACAGCATTTTAGTTGGATAGTAGTATTTTAAAGTGTCAAAAATATAATAATCAGATCCTGCAATCAAATAAATCAAGTTTCACTTTAGTTTTTCAAGTAACTCAACTCAAACTCACTAACTCACTCACTCACTCACTCACTCACTCACTCATCAGACAGGTTATTTTTTTAGGAATATGAGCATGTCCACATTTCCAGGTAGAAGCTGGGATGTTTGGGCGTTTACAATATCCCCTGCTGTGGAAAAAACTCTCTTGCTTGGTACTGATCTTGCTGGGACAGAGAGATTATGCTCTGTCCATGGGTGACAGCAGTGGGTAAAACTGTGCATTGTCTCTCCAACACTTCATAAACAATACAGTTTTTGCCAAGAAGGTGAGGCTTATTGACAGGGCGAGATATACATATACTGTTGGTACTTTTCAATCTCTCTAGGTATGTAAATGTAGCCCTGTAAATACGATGTCCTTTTGTGTTATCTGTTGTTTTATGTTCATGTTGTACCTTACTTTACCATGTTGGGCAGGTCTCCCTTGAAAAAGAGACCGATGATCTCAATGGGACCACCTGGTTGAATAAAGGTTTAAAAAAATATGTATATCGTTACATCCCTAGAAATAACCAGTGTCAGAGGTTTGTGTGTTTCAATGTTGATATATGGCTTAATGGATACTCATAGTATTGTGGTTACAGATTGATGAGGAATTGTTAAGATTTATACGATTTATCGTTCTTTGTTCTTTTCAGATCGATAAGTACCTGTACTCCATGCGTTTCTCTGATGAGACGTTGAAGGAGATCACGCAGCGCTTCAAGAGGGAGCTGGTGAAAGGCCTGGGGCGGGACACCAACCCCACCGCCGTGCTGAAGATGCTGCCAACGTTCGTGCGGTCGATCCCTGATGGCTCAGGTCAGTACCTCAAACCCACATTTTAACCATCGATGGATTATCTGAATCCCATCATGTTGATTTCTTTCTCTCATGAAACCACTATCAAAGCCAGTTAATTGCAGAGGTAAGTCTGCACAGTCCATTACAAAAAAAAAAATCATTTATGGAACAACTTGTAATTCAAATGTGGTCTCCTCTTTCTTGGCCTACAGGGCATATAGTCTACTTTATATCCAAATAGAAACCGAATGAACAGAACAGTGTATTACAAAAAAAAACAAACAATTTATTTCCATAGTTTTTGGGACCTTTCCCAGTTTTCAGAAGTCAGTAACATTTATGAAAAGTGTCCAATTGACCTGATCTCTCATATCTTTCGCCATATATATGACATTTAGAAGGAAACAAGATGTAACTGCAAGACACAGGGCAAGCATGAAGCTTTAAGGATGACGAAGCTTACCTTAATGCACCTTTCACTTCACGAGATCTCATACATTCATCCAACCTAATCTCAAAAGCCAAAACAATTGCTCCTTATTGGTTTAGTGACGTAAAAATGCGCTTAAATCTTCTCCCTGTCATTATGTCATTGTCTGCAGTATGTGTCTAATTCTAATGTACTGCAGTGGTTCTGCCCTTGTAGCTCAATTGTCTTCATCCATCCATCTCAACTGAGTGTTATTTTAGTACCTTCATCAGCTGAATATTAATGGAGGCAAAACTACAAACACAGGTTGGCACAAAATAAATCTTCAATCTATTTGAATCTGCACTGTGAACGTTGTGCTGTCAGACAAACAGAGAGATTAGCAGTAATCCTGCTGCCTTTGTCAGAGAAGACCGGGACAATGAAAGTCCTTACAGATAGTTGAATGGAATACCTTTGGTCTTAATAGTCTAAAAATACATTCAAATCGTGTTTTTGTATTATTAATTTTTACGAAACACAAATTATAATGGGGAAAACTGAATAACAAGTAACTGAACGACATGTTATTCTGAAACTTCTTTATCTTTGCTGCTATTCACCGGCCTGAAGAACTATTTTATGCTTTGTCATTATTTTAAAAACCAGGATAGCAACAATCGTATTTGTGTACTGCTTGTCTCTGATGCATTTACATCTCTTGCAGATAAAAAAAAAACAGTCAGTCTGCACGCCTAATCTGACCTTGTATTGTGATCTGAGAATAATGTGTGGCACGAGATTATAGTAAAGTGAAAATACACTTCTGGGTCAGTAAGTAAGAATGTTGCTAATGTTATCAGGTTCAAGGTTCTTTATTGTCAATCTGACATAGCTACAGAGTAATTATGTAGTTGAAAATCTTATGTCACAGGCTTCTCCAACAATGCAACATAATAACATAATAACAATAAGAGCAAGAGCAATACAAAAAGAATAATAGTTATAAAATAAAGTGATGATGTGGAATAGTGCAGTACGAGTCTATATACAAGTTATTGGAATGATATATATATATATTAGGTATTAGATACATAATACTGAGTAGCAGATGAATGTTTGAATGTCAGAAACATTACTAAGAACTTAAGCACATTGATCTGACCTGTATGCTTTCACTTCTAATCAAAGGTCAATAAGATCTCTGATACACAGTAAATTAGGAAAAAGCAGTGACATTTTTGAAGTTTATCTAATCAGAATGCTTTACGGCAATTATGTCTTCCCAATTCAGACAGAAAGACTAAACGACAGTCCCTAAGTGAACATTCACTAATAATTAACCACTATGTCATGCGATTTTTCTAATCACAGGTCACATAAAGCAACACCTTCCTAGTTTAGGTTTATTTCTGCCACCACACCATTTTCTTACACTAGTATCCATTAATGCAGGTCACAATGTTGAAGACATATTATTATTATTTTGGAAATGTACATTGCTTAAGTTTGAATTAAAGGGAAATGTGTTACCAAGTTAAAAGAAGGGAGACATCTGATAATGCATGTTTTTATTTGTCATAACTGTGCTAATAGGAAGTGTACTCTTAGGTAATGTTAACAACACTCTCCTTAGACTTCACCCTCTCTTTCTTTCTTCTTCTTGTATCTTCCACTTCTCCCTCATCTTCTCACTCTTCCCGTCTCCACAGAAAAGGGAGACTTCATTGCGTTGGATTTGGGAGGCAGTAACTTCAGGATCCTCCGGGTCAGAGTGAGCCATGAGAAGAAACAGACGGTTCAGATGGAGAGTGAAATCTACGACACACCGGAGGACATCATTCACGGCACTGGAACAAAAGTAGGTTTATACTAAGATACACTCACTGACACAAAGAGTCTCTTCAGATCGGCCTGAAACATCCTCTCCCTCTCTCCACCTTTGCCCAGCTGTTCGACCATGTGGCAGAGTGTCTCGGTGACTTCATGGAAAAACACAGCATCAAAGACAAGAAACTCCCAGTTGGATTGACTTTCTCCTTCCCCTGCCAGCAGACCAAACTAGACGAGGTAAAACACAATTAATAATTGATTAGCAGATGCCGATGTTGTCTACTTCTATGTGACACACGACACTTTCCATGTGTTATCTTTTATTCAAATATCTGATGATTATACTGCAGTACATTTACATTATGAGTTAACCCAAGCCAAGTCTCCATTTAGCATCAAGTCTATCTCTTTCCTAATCTCACTTTCCTGTGGCTATCTCTCTGTTGTCTCCAGGGCTTTCTGGTAACCTGGACAAAGCGTTTCAAGGCCAGTGGAGTGGAGGGAATGGACGTTGTCCAGCTGCTCAACAGAGCTATAAAGAAGCGAGGAGTGAGTTACCAACGTATTTATCTTTATTTATTGAACATTTTCTGGTACAGGACATACATCTTGAACACCAGACTTTCTAAATACAACAAACAAACAATACAAAAATAACACCACAGTTTACAAGTTTAAAATGACAATAATTTCACAGGCTTTATAATTATACCAAATATCCTTTGTGCTTTTTCTGTCACTAGGTATACATACGTTTTTTCTCTTTTCATAGAAACACTTATGGGAATCCTTTTGAAATCATTTATTCTAAATCAAACTGGGATGCAGAATGGCACATATAACCATAAACCATACTTACTTGTGTGTGTGTGTGTGTTTTCATTTCTCTCAGGACTATGAAGCTGACATCATGGCAGTAGTGAATGACACTGTGGGAACGATGATGACCTGTGGTTTTGATGACCGGCGCTGTGAAGTCGGCATCATCATAGGTACTTCAACAAAGATTCAAACCTGTATTTGGCATTGTGGCACAACAGTTTGAAGAAACAGAATAGAGCTTGATTATACTTTAAAGGTCACCTATTATGCAAAATCCACTTTTTCCTGTCTTTTATACATCAACATGTGTCCCCTCTGTGTAAAGAGATTCTCTCACTTTTTGTCCTGATCCATTTATATAGAAACCTGTCTGAAAATGAGCTGATCAGATTTTGGCCCCTTTATGATGTCATAACGTTTTTTTGGCTTGTGTAACCATTAGCCAATCAGCAACCAAGGTAACCCCCCCCCCACCTTATCACCTGAATCTCCTCCTAGAGCACCATTGTGTTCTTTTTAACCAAATATCTCTCAGAGGGGCGTGGGGAGTGGCTCCTTATTTTCATCTAAAGTAACAGACAGAGAATCAGCGCTTTTGAAACAGGGCTGAAACAGAGGGGTTTATGGGATGCTACAATTATCTGTTAGGTATTTGGAGCCAAACACTTCAGAGACATGTTTTGTATATATCTGAGACCTATAATATATTGACCTTTAAGGATACTGTATGTGTTTCTCTGTGTAAGGTACGGGCACCAATGCATGCTACATGGAGGAGCTGCGCCACATCGACCAGGTGGAGGGGGACGAGGGCCGGATGTGTGTGAACACGGAGTGGGGGGCCTTCGGAGACGACGGCAGGCTGGAGGACATCAGGACAGAGTTCGACAGAGAGATAGACAGAGGCTCCATCAACCCCGGGAAACAGCTGTATGTCAAACCAAAACTGCTACACTCTTATTTTTGTTCTTCATCTATTGAATGAACTCCAGAATCAGCTGATGATTAGCTGTCAGTCTGTCAATTAGCTTTTGCTTATTGTTCTGGGTATGGAGAAAGTATAACAGGATTTTATTTATTTTGTTGTTTTGTCTGTCTGACTGTTTGTCTGACCGTTTTATTTTGTTTTGGTTTTGTTTTTTTTACTCCTGTTTTTCCTGTAAAGCGACCTTGGGTCCCCTGAAAGGCGCTATATAAATCTAAGTTATTATTATTATTATTATTATTATTATTATTATTATTATTATTATTATTATTATTATTATCATCATTATGATTTGCCATATGGTTATTCATTTATATTAAAAAAAATAAAAAAATAATAACAAATATTTTGTAACTAGGAACTTTAAGGACACCAGGGAGGGATGTACCTCCAACTTTACCTTTGAATGAATGTAGCTGATGTATGGCGCTGTGCTTCAAGATTCCAGTTATACTCAGGGTTCTTACGGTCATTAAAAACCTGGAAAAGTCATGGAAATTCAAAAAGCTAATTCCAGGCCCTGGAAAAGTTATGGGAAACAATATTTTTCAAAGTTTTGGAAAAGTAATGGAAATGTAACTAAAGTTGCATCAAACATAATTTATATTTTATCTAATCGCCGAAATAGTAATACTATAATGATAATAAATACTGTATCGTATAGTAATGAAACGTAAAATGGCATTTAACTGTTGAGGTATTTTGCTGGTGAGAGATTTTAGTTGCTTTAGCCTGTAGAAGCTAGTAAGCCTACTATTGGATTTGTTTTAGATAGGCCCGCTGAGAGAGTCATTTTTTTGGTCATGGAAAATTAGGTAAAGGTCATGGAGAAGTCATTGAAAATCATTGGTGAAAAAGTGTATGAACCCTGTATACTGCATGTTTAAACAAGTGCTCACAGAATTCCAGCACTGTGTTAATATAACATGCAGAGATAACGGCATTGCTCGTTGTTGGCTGGATGCCCTAGTTGCTTTCCTACATGGGAGCCAAAGCTTTTCCTTTTTTTTATGTAAGATGCTTAAAGCTTCAACGCAAAAACAGCAGCATTCAAAATTGTGCTATCGACTACGGTATAAAAACTCAACTAGTGTCACAATTTTAAATACTACCAATGTCTATCTGTTTGTCATTAAGTAATATTTAACAAAATATTGTGTATATGTTTTACCAACCTTTCATTTTCCCTTTCCCTGTGTGTTAGATTTGAGAAGATGGTCAGCGGGATGTACTTGGGGGAGCTGGTCCGTCTGATCCTGGTGAAGATGGCCAGAGAAGGCCTTCTGTTCGAGGGGCGGATCACTCCTGAGCTGCTCACTAAGGGGAAGATCGAAACCAAACACATCTCAGCCATAGAGAAGTAAGTCACAATTAGTACAATTCTATGCAGTTAGATATGAAACTAAATCATACAACTGTAAATGATATATTTCTAGTCCATAATGGCTTCTCTGTCTTTCCTGTTTAGGAGTAAGGAGGGGTTGATGAGAACCAAAGAGATTTTACAAAGACTTGGCGTGGAGCCCTCGCATGACGACTGCATCGCTGTGCAGCATGTGAGTATTTTTGCTGAAAAGCTTGTGAATACGTTTTTTCTTTTTTGAGATTCCGCTTGAATAAACTTAAACTATAGTTATTTATATTGCCGCTTTTTCGAAAAGTTGCACTACAAGGTGCTAAATAATCATCTGAAAATGCAACAAGGGTTAGCAATGATCATAGCACATTAAATACGGGTTGATAATGGATTTAAAAATATTATAGTTCATTAAGATTAAAAGAAAGCTGAGGGTAGCAACTGATGATCGAATTAGTTACTGTAGTTCTGCCAAACAAACTATTAAAAGCAAATAGGATGAACAATATTACATCATATAAGCACTATTGTTGTATTTAGGTATGTCTATTTTATTTTATGTTATGCTTTTAAGTGCAAACATGATTATAATGTACATGAATACTGCCATAATATGTGCCATCTGACAAAGAGTTTAATCAAATCAAAGGAGCTTAGTTCACCTTATTCTTCAGCTGCTTGATGATTTTCTCTCCTCGTCCTTCAGGTTTGTGCCATTGTGTCTTTCCGTTCGGCCAACCTGATCGCTGCGGCGCTGGCCGGCATCCTGCTCAGGCTGAAGGAGAACAAAGGCGTGGCCCGACTCCGAACCACTGTAGGCATCGATGGATCTCTGTACAAGATGCACCCACAGTGAGTGGATCCAATATTTGTTTATCAGACATACTGAACTCTGTTAGCACATCTGTGTAATACTTTCTTGATATGTGCTTATTATCAATGTGTGGTGTCTTATGACTAAATAAGTCTACATTTCTCAGCGTTTAAAGTCTCTTATGTGTATTTCAGATATGCCCGTCGTCTCCATAAGACGGTCCGTCGTTTGGTGCCGGACACTGATATTCGGTTCCTCCTCTCAGAGAGCGGCAGTGGAAAAGGAGCTGCCATGGTAACGGCTGTGGCCTATCGCCTCGCCGAACACTCACGAGAGATCACCCAAACACTGTCTGAGTTCCTCCTGTCGACCAAACAACTGCTGGAGGTAAAGACAGATACATACTGTAGTGTGTGTAATATGTGTGTGCGTGTCTTTCACTGCTGAATATTCTCCTAAATTATTCCAGGTTAAGAAGAGAATGAGGATAGAGATCCAAAATGGCCTTTCAAAGAGCACTCAGGACTCTGCTACTGTCAAAATGCTGCCAACCTTTGTGAACAGCACTCCAGATGGCTCAGGTGACACACACACACACGCACACACACACGCACACACCCACAAAAATGACACACCATGTTGAACCTTGCTCTGAGTGAGAGTCCTTATCCAATATTGATCTTTTATGACTGAAATGTCATACACATTTTGCTTATGTCACTTTTGCAAACGTCAGAAAGTTTTCATAATCATCAAAGAAACTAATTTATTTTAATAAATACAAAAATTGCCAAAATGAACAGCAAAAGTAAAATTTAAGAGGGAGAACCTTCATGTTACAAAGCAGTAGAAAATGATTAATACCAAAGTGCAATTGCAGATTTAGCACACGAATAACATGGAAAATCTCCAAAAGCAGAAGAATTTATATTTTTACATTGATGTCTTCAGCTAATTCCTTTTCCAGAATTGCACAAGGCATATCCCTCAGGTGTTAGTATGTTTGCCATGGTTACTGGTTTATTTATGTATTTGTTTGTCTGCTTGTCTTGTTGTCCAGAGCATGGAGACTTCCTGGCGTTGGATTTAGGAGGAACCAACTTCAGAGTTCTGTTGGTAAAGATTCGTTCAGGCAAGAGGAGAACCGTGGAGATGCACAACAAGATCTACGCTATTCCTCTGGAAGTGATGCAGGGCACAGGGGAGGAGGTGAGATCCAGCATGCCTCACTTGACCCTGTAATATGTATTAAACTGGGGGGGAGGTAAACATTGAACTTGACCTCAGGTCACCTTGTTGTTACTGTGGAGATTAGGGTAGTTAGGGAGGACGTGGGGTATGAAGCTTGTTGACTTGGAGTTAAGTGGATAGGATGGAAACGGCTGGGAAGAAAGTGGATAGGTAAGAGGAGGACAGAAATAAAGGTTAATAAGCATTGAGTTGACCGTGTTTAAACCGTCAATTTGAACTTACCTCTTGTGCACCGGCTGAGGCTAATCCTGTCTGTCACCTTTTTGACCTTTTAATCCTCACTATTACTCCTCCATGTGTTTCCTTCCTCCTGAGATACTCCGGGCAAGAAGCCAGAAGGGAAAAGGCACTATTTTTGTGAAATGTTTTCACTTATTTTGTTTAATAAGATTATTTTTCGGCTCACCCAAAACAAGCAGCAAGCAACAAGCATTTAGTAAAACAAACGCTTGGACCATGTCATATTAAATATGAAAACAGTTCATATAAATGTAATGGCTTAAATCCTCTCAATGCCTCTCCTCTGAGTTGAGAATATTGATGGCACTCGGGAGGAAGGACTTATTGAAAACATTTTTAGTTGCATATGCCAGCATGCTCACTTTTTTAAAGCTTTTTTATTGTATTTGTATAGTATATAATATAGCATTCTAGTATGTATTGTGTCCTTTAAGTGGTATTGTTGTTTATAGGGTCAACTATACTTTATGAACCGGACAATTTTTTTCACAAAGCATCAAAGTCAAGCATATTTTTCTCTGGCCACACCTCAATCTGTCATCTTATAACGTGTTTTCTATTATCTATCCAGGATAAGATATACTGTATGGTTTGAAATAACTGATAAAGGGTTGATCAGAGTACAATATGCTTGTAACTACTCTTCAGACTAGAACTTGCCTTGTTATGTTAGTGACACATAAACAACATATTTAACAGGGGTCCACCAAATTCCACCTTTCCCTTTGACAGAGCGGTACTGCCTGCAGGCAAATTATATAACCGTTCTGTATGTCCAAACCTCTGAAAAATGTAAATTACAAGGCTGCATCCACAGTCATATAACACTTGTTAAAGGAGTACTTCATACACAAAGGGATGATTTGTATATCCACTACTCATCCCATGTCACCTTGAATTCTTTAAGAAGACTTTTTTGCATGTTGGTGAAGAATCTTAAATATAAACTTCTTGAAAACAATAAACACGTTTTGAATATTAAGTTTGTATCACATTTTTATCAAAAAAGGACCACTATTTCTTTTGGAAAATGTTTGAATAGTAAAGTAAAGTGAAACTAATGTGTTTAAACATGCAAGAAAAATCTATTAAAGGTCATTAGGGTGAGTAATCGGTATACAAATGGTCATTAAGTCTGTCATTGTATTGCTTTAATTTGTTCTTTAAAGTCCTCCTACACAGTTTTATGGTTAATTATTGCCTCACATCGAATTCATCCAACCAGTCATAAATATTTTAGTTGTTGTCGAAAACTAATTACTTGAGGCCAGGAATTGAGCAATGTTTGATAAATGTTTTTATTATAAATACTGTCGTTTCACATATTTTTCTTCCTCCAGCTGTTTGATCACATTGTGCAGTGTATCAGTGACTTCCTGGACTACATGGGGATGAAGAACACTCGTCTTCCTCTGGGCTTCACCTTCTCCTTCCCCTGCAGACAGACCAGCCTGGACGCTGTGAGTGATTAAAACATCCTTCACTTTGAATTGGTGTCATGGCCTGGCTCTTAGCCATAACAAAAGCGTGGAAAGGACAAGAATATATCGGAAAATATATTTATATTAACAAAACTCAACGTGACCAAAGCCAAACAAAAAGGCAAGACAAAAGAATTAGCGACGTGGCTGCTCTCCCAGAACAGGTCCTCTGCGGGGAGAGAGATAGAGACTCTGGCTCAGGCCTTTAAATCCTCCGGTGCCAGCAGCCAGGTGTCCTCAATCAGCGCTGACACAAACAGAGGGAGAACATTAAAGAGCCATACACACACCACAGGAGACAGTAAAGCAGGGGTCGTCACATTGGCAAAACTGTCTCTTACTTTCTTTTAAAATCCGCTGGGTTACAGTCCACTGATAGCACACTTATTACCAGCTGCATCAAGAGAAAGGCCCTTCATGTTTCCAAAATATCATTAAAGAAGCCGTTTTGTTGTTAGCATTTAGCAACACTGTGTTTCATGAGTCCTGGGCAGACCATGAAATCCTTGGATCCTACGCAAAATATGACTTACCTGTTACTTGTTTGTGTGTGTGTGTGTTTAGGGAATCCTTGTGACATGGACAAAGGGCTTCAAGGCAACAGACTGTGAAGGAGAAAATGTGGTTGGTCTGTTGAGAGATGCCATTAAGAGGAGAGAGGTATGATATGAGGAGCAGCAACATGTAGTTATACATGCTCTGAATGATTACAAGTGGACTGTATTGTTGCATCATTACATGTTTTCTTCTGTAGGAATTTGAGCTGGATGTGGTGGCCATAGTGAACGATACAGTGGGAACCATGATGACCTGTGCCTACGAAGAACCCACCTGTGAGATTGGACTTATCGCTGGTTAGTTTTCCTTATATTTACGCATTCATTCGAAAAGTATGCAGCCAAAACGATGAAAGAGCTAATAAAAACAATGGCCTATAGTTGGGAAGAAACACTGAATTTGTCGAAAAAAGAAACCTATAAAGTATGTCTCTTATGTTAAATAAAAACGTACTTACTTAATCGTACTAAAAATAACAGGCAGATCATAGCTGATGCAATATTCACTAGAGAAAAATCTATTTTCTTCATTGTTATTGTCATGCAGACAATAACATGCTATGAAATATCCATTAAACATGTCACTAAACATTAGTCGGGGTTGTCAGTTTACTCTATAATAGAAAAGGGGTCCCTTGAGGGAAATGGTTGGGACCCTTTGCAGTAAAAATCTAACATGTCATTCTGTTTCTAGGCACTGGCAGTAATGCATGTTACATGGAGGAGATGAGGAACATTGAGATGATCGATGGAGATGAGGGCCGCATGTGTGTCAACATGGAGTGGGGGGCTTTCGGAGACAACGGATGCCTTGATGACATGAGGACAGAGTGCGACCGCGCTGTGGATGACTTCTCCCTGAATCCAGGCAAACAAAGGTTACAATCCACACACATCTTTATCTCCTGCACTCATATCCTTATAGATTACTTCCAATATGTGTGGATGCATCGATATGTTTATTCATATGCACGCTATATGTGTTTTACAGATATGAGAAAATGTGCAGCGGCATGTATCTCGGGGAAATTGTGCGAAACATCCTGATAGATATGACCAAGAAAGGATTCTTGTTCAGAGGACAGATCTCTGAAACACTGAAGACCAGAGGCATCTTCGAGACAAAGTTCCTCTCACAGATAGAGAGGTAAGAGCTCTTTCTCAAACAGTGTTTACTGTTTGTGTCTTTAAACTGGCTGTGAAAAACACCAGATCATTTATAGTAGATTGCACTGCAACTAATTATTGCTTGTTTATTTACCTTTAAGTGGATATATTTGTACTTTAAATTGCTGTTTTGGTACTGAACTACTTAAGTTAATTTCCCCTTTGCTCATCAACTACTGTATGTCTGTTTTTTTTTCTTCCCAGTGATAGATTAGCTCTGCTGCAAGTGAGATCCATCCTGCAACACTTAGGGCTGGACAGCTCCTGTGATGACAGTATCATAGTCAAAAGGGTAAGCTATATACAAATACAAATGTGGGCAAATAACGAACAATTTCTTCTGAGGAAATGTGTGCCCAATAAAAACTAAAGCACACAATCATGTTTAACAGCTCATCCAGTCTCATGCTCAACCATTGATAATCCCTTACTGACGGAGATGGAGTTTGAAGAGAATATACACACTAGCTCTGAACTGGCCATGCAGTTGATTTAACGCCTCCCTATTAGACTGCATTAGATTTAGCGAGGTGTACTGTTAAAGAAGGCATGTGTATTGGACTATACATGGAACAGAAATACACATGTTAAGTGACATATCTTTTCTTAATGAACACACTGCGACAGGTTTGATCCGTTCAGTGTTGCAATAATAATAATAATGTTTTCATTATAATTTACAGGTTTGTGGGGCAGTGTCCCATCGTGCAGCTCAGCTTTGTGGGGCAGGGATGGCCGCTGTGGTCGATAAGATCAGAGAGAACCGAGGACTGGACCATCTGGACATCACTGTGGGGGTGGACGGGACCCTCTACAAACTACATCCACAGTGAGTTGAATTCATCAACAACAGACTAATTACTCAACTGCCAAAGAAACAAAGATAGGAAAGGCCTTTTTATCATGTCCTAAATTGCCTTGTTTTATGTTCTAGTAGTAAGGAATAATTTTTATGAATGATTTACTAGATAGCACAGGTAATTTAATTTCATATCAGTGTTTTTGCTGTATGTACCAGCTGCTTTCAGCTATTCCAACTAACTGGAAACGTAAATTAAAAAAAGATGGAAACTGACAACAGGTCTGTACACCTCATACAAGAAGTCAGAAATACAACTAAATAAACTCATTTATAATCACTGTTTACAGAGCAATGGCCTTGCTGCTTTTCCTCATGCGGTCTGTTCTTTCTGGGAAGAGGAATTTAATATTCTGATACCCTGGAAACAACTTTTTAGAACCATATACAACAGATTCATATTCAAGAATCTTCCAACTGAAGATTTTTTACAAGATTACCGCTACAAAAAAACAACTCAACACTTTTAATATTGAACCGTCAGCATTTTGTAGATTCTGTGAGGAGGAAGAGGAAGACCAGATGCACTTATTTTTTTATTGTCCATACGTTGCAAGACTGTGGACTGAGATTCAAAATTGGCTTAAGACACTTTATATTGATTTTGCATTTACTCCCTTTGGTGTTTTGTTTGGGCTTTTGGATGAGGACAGTACACAGTTAATGAATACAATTCTTCTTCTGGCTAAAATACTTATTTTTAAAACTCAATCAAGGAAAAATCTGAATTCAAGGTGTTTGAAGAGTAGATTAAAAACACAATTTATTTTGGAAAGGATGATTGCCACAAAGAATCAAAGGGTGGCTCAACACGCCATGAAATGGGAAACAATCAGCTCTAGCGAAGAGTGGGATAAAAAGGAACAATAACTATAAATATGCTTGCCATGTTATGGTATGTGCTTTTGATGGTATTGGACTGTCAACCTATTTTTCTTGTTTATGAAATGTTGAAGTGACCTACGGACTGTATTTTATTTTTTCTGTTTGTTTGTTTGTTTGTCTGAGATAGGAATGTCTCCTATTTGTGTTATAGTTATGTCCATGTTTTGTGTCTGTAGCCTGTACAATTAAAAGAAACAAAGATAGGAAAGGCCTTTCTATCATATCGTAAATTGCCTTGTTTTATGTTTTAGTACAGTGAACAACGTGTTTAACATATTTACATGACACTTATTGATATAATCCGTGGGGTGCAAATTGCTATTCAGAACAACAAGCAAATGTGAACAAAGACCGGCTCAACCAGATATGAGAAGAGCCGCAGGCCATTTTAGCTTAACAAATTAACATGATGTCAAATCTTTTGTCTCTGTCTAGTTTCTCGGGGGTCATGCACCAGACGGTAAATGAACTGGCTCCTCAGTGTAACGTCAACTTCCTGCTGTCAGAGGACGGCAGTGGGAAAGGTGCCGCGCTCATCACAGCCGTGGGGTGCCGCATAAGACAGGAGCTGAGCAATAAATAGAAAATACCTCTTCTGTCTTACTGTTATCTCCACACTTTACCGTGTTTCCCTTTTCTCCTCCCTCCTCTTCTTTCCCCTCATCTTCAGCCCTTGTTCAGTCAAAGTATCACACATTAGTGTAGCTGCTTTAGTCTGTCTAAAGGACAGAGAGGGAGATCGTTTTCTCTGTGGTGTTAGATAGCAGAGAGTCATGCACTAACATATCTAACAATACTCAGACTCTTATGTTTTTGTGTTGTTTGAGGTTAAACCTGTAGAGATAAAATGCGAACATTCAGCTCCTGTGAAAAAATGTGGCGAGTAGAAGAATAGGTTCACACGCTCCTGTAATGATGAGCTGTTTATCATCGCCATCTGGAGGATTCCTCTGATGATTGTAGTCTGTTACAATATTACCAAGTACAACAGGTTCCAGACTATTTCCAAAAAGCATTGCGGAGAAACATTTATCCTTGCAACATGTGTAGTCGATACAGCGTCATAAAAACCAAAAGCTTCCAAAGTGTTTCCACTGTCTCAAGACGGATAAGGGATATGAGATGATATATAAATGTGTAATAAGATGAAAGGGAATATTTTTGCTTTGAGATGTCTAATATCTTACCCAGAAATGCTACAATATGTTATATATACATTGTTGCTATTTATTTTATTTTTGTATTGCGCAATGTTAAAATATATTGAGGCACACAGTCCTCTCAGCCGGTACTGGTCCTGTAGCGGAGGATTCAACAATCTACTATAAGGGCAGAAAGGAGAAAAAGACGGACTTCAAAAATGTTTAATCTGCAGGGGATGTAGCGTGCTTGCTAAATGTGCAGATGTGTTCTACTTTATTTACTTTGTGCTGTACTGTAACATATGTCCAAAGAGCACATGTATTTACTAAGTAGAAATCCTGTTATTGGCTCTCGTCACAGCTACTGTATGTACGTTCTCGTTGTCTTAAGAAGTGCTGGTTACCCTCTTCATCACAATAAAACTCACTAGCTACTTAGTCAAAAGCCATGAAAGAGGAATGTGATGCTAACACAGATGCCACTGGAAAAACTTTGGCCAAACTGCATAAAAAGAATAAGGTAGCTGAAACTTTAAGGGGTATGTAAACATTTGGAAATATTGCTTCTCACTCACTGTACTCCGTATCATCCTAAAGACTCAGAAAGGTGTTAAAGTGAACTACTCTATGGCTCATTCAAGTAACACAATTATTGCAATGTAATTTGTTTTTATCTGTGATAATGTATAAAGGATACCTATTGAAAGACTGGCGAGTTTATTCACTGGCATTTATGTGAGATATTTTCATTGTAGGGGCTAGCAGGTTCTCTGCACATTAGAGCACAAAAGGTCTTAACATACAGTAGTGGCACTGTATAGCTCACAGGTAACTGTTAATGGTGGTGCACAGGATGTGAGATACTCCAGTACATAAATGGCTACATTTGTTAACTATGGTTAAAATGGCGACATTGAAAGACGCCTATATAAATAAAATGCATTATTAATTGCTGCTCTGTGACATTAAGCACCCATCTAAAACTGCTACAGAAAAAATGAATCCTAGCAAATTACATTTTCATTCCTTCGTACGACGCTGCTCTACTGCTGCCAGGGTAAAGATGGCCAGCCGCTCCAGCAGCTATACTACCTTGCCTTTAGATGTTCACAAAACCCAGACTGTATCTGTCAAACACTGTCAGTCAATAAATAAAGACAAACTTGTGTCAATACAACTAAAGAGTTTTAATCTAGCCAAACATGACTGGATTCTGCTTACAGTACTGCAGCTCTAAAGAAAAGGTCAAATATTCAATGACATGCATACCTTGTCTTAATTGAAATGATAAGGTATGCATATGTCATTGAATACTTGACCTTTTCTTTAGAGCTGTTGTGGTTTTACTTGAAGCCAACAAATAAATATGTCTTTCTAAAGTTGTGTTTTCAGTTAGTTGGCCTAGGTACATTACAGAAAAACGTAATGGGTTGTTGGTGTGTTCAGAGGTTCATTAAAAAATGAAGTAGCTATGAGAGAATGTAAGTAAAAGTGATTTGAAAACAAAGTAGCACCGCCCCTTTGACCCCCGTGTTACATTTGAACAAGAGGAGAACTGAGGGACCATTGCACGCACACTCACATTTATTAAACATATTATCAACTTTTATTTAGGCCACAAACTTCTACCCTGCTGATTTCTGTAGACAACAATACATGTTTCACTTTGTCACTTTACCTTAAAAGTAAAAGTTGTCACAAGAATTGAAAAGGTTTTCTCTCCATTCTGAAATGTTGACAATTACAAGCTACATTATTTACAACATTATCATCATACTAAATGTGCACAAACATGTCACCTTATTTACATTTCCTCTTCATCAAAATATGTTACATAATACACTCAATAGATTACATTTACATCACATTCGTCTAATTAGCAGCACTTTTCATTTTGAATGTGTACTCTACTTCACCATGAACATAAAAATATTAAAATAGTACAGTTGTAGGAACGTGTGAAGTCACAATACACGAACAACGTACTGTATGAATGCACACTATGTGAAAGACATGTTTAAAGACCGTTACAATAAAAGATACATGCTCACCATATAACTGATAGTAAGAAACATCCAGCAAAGTCTATCAAATAAGCTAGGCTAATTTTGCTTCTAAAATATTTTATAATCAGTTTAAAAGTTGTATTTATTTTGTCAACTGAAACTGTAATGATAGGTGATTAGAAAATCAGTTCATATTATAAATAGCTAGTTCTGTGTCTTTCAATTTAATAAATTGAGCAAGTTGTAATTACATTTTGTTCGACTATTTCAGTCCTAATAGAAGTGACAGTCGATTAACATCTTTAAAAGCTGCATTGATACAGCAGAGCTCCTCAGACTCATATTCTAAACTGCAAAGATATCCCCTTAATAAAGGTGTTATTATAAGCTCAAGGCAATCCCACACTAACAAGAGCTAAGCAGCACATTGGTGCTAACTTTGAACACCAGAAAGCTGAACAAATGTCGCTTTAACTATGTTACCAATAACTAACTTTACAGTTACAAGCACTTTGTGTCTTAAGATTGGTGAAAAATATGAAATGTCCATGTCGGTGGTAATACAAAGAAGAAAAAACACATTATTAAGGCTTGCTGCTGATGCCAGAGGACTTCTCATCCATTATACGTTGTTGTTGAAAAGAAACATCACAAAGACTACAGTTTCACACTCTGTAGATATCCACAATTTACAGTTTCTCAAAGGAGAAGCGTAGTTAGTGAATGTAAATTATAGAGGGAGGACAAAGGAGAAGCGTAGTTAGTGAATGTAAATTATAGAGGGAGGACAAAGGCTTCAGTAAGAGAAATGAATCATGGATGGATTTATCTACAGACGTTCTTACAAACAGCAAACACTAACAATGCGAGAATAAAACTCTTGTTTTCATTAATACAGATGTAGTTTCTTCACATATAACTCTATTTCCATGACCACTTTGGTATTAACAGCAAAACATCCACCAGTCACATTCATTTATATTCCTCTTTAACGAAAAAAAGGGTTATTGGTCCAAAGCCACAGCTAAACATCTCCCACATGAAGTCACCACACTTCGCTCCACCCTGTTGGACCTCCCCTTTATCTTTTGGGTGAAATCTAATTATTATCAGCTCAAAAACCCAATTATTTTCTATCGTGATGTCCTCGTCATGTTTTGTTTCAGTTGTTGTGCTGTAGAAGTGTGTCAGCTGGAGATCTTGTATCTGCACATGTGCTGTGTGAGCTGTATGTGTTTAATGGTGTTTGTTTTTTAAGCTGCATGCAAGCATCTCTTTCTGAGTTGATATCACTGTTGATAGCTGCGTTTGCGTCAAAGGCGTTGTGTGTTTTGATGGAGGTGTGTATGTATGTACTGTCTTTGCGGTGGCTGCGGCTCATGGTAGCTCTGAAGGTGTGTGTGTGCTGCAGCTCCATCCTGTCCTCCTCCGACACTTTGATGAAAGGACACCAAACAAACGCATGACGGAAACCAGCACGAAACCTGCAGAGAGAGGATCATTAGTTTTCTAGCCCAAGTTTTGGGATACTGGAACTTTAGTGTGAATATGTCTTTTACCTTTGGTTTAGACAGCAGTATATGATAGGATTGTACATTGTTGAACTCATCGCCAACCAGAATATAGCCAGGTACACCTGACGAAGAAAGGAAACATGATGCCCAGTTAATAAATCAGACTAAAAACATTTTAAATGTTTTAGAGCAACCTTGGTAGTCTCAATATCTCTGTCTGGTATAGGAACTCGACAGCAGTAAATATAAACTGGTGGGCAAGATTGTTAACTCCGAGAAGGATAATAGACCGCCAACAAAAGCAATTCCATGGTTAAATGATGATGAACCGCTGTAAACAGCAAAGCCTGGCCAATTATCTTTGATTAAACACATCCCCTCTACTCTAGTTTGAGTTTGTCCCCTTAGGCTGTCGCGATATAATAAACCTGGCAAAATTACATTTGAAAATGTTCTTTAATTCGTTTAGACAGGTTAGGTGTTAAGGAAAACATTATAGTACACTTGAATATGAGAGGCAAGGCTTTGCACCAAGGACATGCATTCAATGACTGTTACATTTCTTCATGTTTTCTCCTCAGTGAGTTGAGACCAAAGATACTTTCCTGTCTTGGCTGCACAATAAAGGTTGTTACATTTCCAAACAGGCAGAAAGGCAGCTGCTCACCTGTTGGATGTAATGCTGTTTATAAATGTCTCTGTTAAAGGATCCCAGTATGAAGTAGATGTGGTAGGGCAACCAGCAGAGGGCAAAGGTCAAGACCACGACAACCATCATCTTCACCACCTGTCGGGAATCACAGAGAGAATAATAGCCAATACATATATAAAGCCAATAATGCCATATTTTAAATTCACTCTCATATAATTGTGTTCGATTCACCCTTAGCTTTACTTAGCCACGGTTATCTGAGCATTTTGAAAATAGTGATAATGTGACATCAGAAGACTAGAACTGTACTTTATGACAAATATAAGAGTGTGACCTTTCTCTTGGCAGTGATCTGGCTGTGGTAATGGTCCCTCGCCTCTCCAGGGATGTGCCCACCCCATAATGACTGACCCACTAAACTGTAGGTCACCAGCATCACCAGCAGAGGGAGCAGGTAGATCAGCAAAATCACTGCAAACTGATAGCTGCAGAGGGAGAAACAGACAACAAGCTTCATTTGTTTAATGGTTTCAGAGATTGTTAGGGGTTGTGAGCCCAGATTGTTTGTAGGGTCCCTTTGGTTGATAGTGATATTGTCTTCCAACAAAGCTTTCTAAACCAACTCCATTAACGGCCTCAGCAACATTTAAAAGCAACTAAACAATCTTAACCTTTAATTCAAGTCAATCAAGCCTGCATTGGTTAGTATCAGTGACTAGTTGACAGATAGTTTTTGGTTTAGATGTATTATAGCAACTGAAGGTGTCCCGGATTGAAAAACAGAAACCAGAGCTGTTCGTTTAGCATGAAACACTTGAAATAACTAACGGATAAGTTCAAAAAGAAAGTAGAAAGAAAGTGAGGTCAAAGAAAACTATTTCTGCTAAAAAGTTAGCAATGATTGAAAGTCAGACCTAAACATTTCAGATGTGTGTAACTCACACTGCACTGTAACTTGTATTCATGTACCTTTGTTATTCATGTTTTATTATCTTTGCTTTTGAATGAGTGTTTTTAAATGCCCTTTTATAATATGTTTCTTAATGCTCTTAATGTCTTTCATTTTTGTAAGGCACTTTGAATTGCCTTGTGTTGAAAGGTGCTATATAAATAAACTTGCCTTGCCTTGCCTTACATAAATGTTGGCTTCAACTCACAGATGTTCAGAAATATGTGAATTTTAATAACTTTTGTACTGATTTGCATGACTGTCCCCTTAAATATGAGTGTACCTGTCATGCAGACAATATCTTTGTGCTGATAACTTGTTAATTTATGTTAGCCTATACATCTTCCTTGTTGTAAATGTCTGCGTTTTTTTCACCTTAGTTGATGTGTCCCTCCATAATCGTCCGGCCAGTCGACCATGCACACAGTTCTGGGGTAGTAAAATATTGTCACGCTGTAGTAGCACTGAGGGAAAGCCAGTAAGATTGCTACGATCCAAATGAGGGCGATCACAACCTTTGTAGAGGTGGAGGAGAGGCGGGGCTTCAGAGGGTGGATGATGGCCATGTACCTGACACAAGATAAAAAGGTTCATTTATGGAGTGTTTCATTTAGAGTATGATGTTATACATAGGAACAGACCAGAGTGGTTCCTACAACACATCTTCTGTGTGCGAGCATCTCTGCCATATGTTTAAAAGTCATTCTTCTCTTTTCATTACTTGAGGTTGTTAATCATTATCGCTGAGGCTTTATCATAGTCCATTTTTAATACATATCATTTATATTTAATTACATTCTACTGTAGATGATAAAGTGGTGGTTTCGTCTGTGTTGCCTTTCTCTTGAGTCCATTATTCTGAACACATATTATTCTCAGCCTTAAAAGCTTTATGGGCTTTAATTCTAACTGAAAATGTTGAATAAAATATCCATCCCCTTTTTCATTTATAAATCATATCACTAACTCTGAGTCATATGTTAGTAAAATAACTAAACCGTTGATCTGCTTTAGAAAAGAGAGATCTCCTTTACAAAGAAATGAACAGCTCTATAT